GGCGGTCATGGTGGCGGCTGGAGTTACAGGTGTACATTTTTACAAGGTACAACGGGTGAAAAGCTTATGGGTGAGAAGAGTATAACGAAAGAATTTTTTTTCTCTGTCAAAATCGAGAAAGGGCTCCAGTGAAGAAAGTCGAGCGACTGATTGAGCAAGCAAAACATTGCGCTAAATGCTAGTCCGATTCTTGGTGGTCTCGAAGATCCATTAGATTTGAAATTTTGTAGAAAAAGTTACAGCAGGCGCTTCGATGTAGTCGGCGTGCGTACATACTCGTTCAAGACACCAATCCGCACGGTACGATGTGTCTGCGACACTATTTTTTAAATTTTAAAATACGCGCAGATTGTTTGATGATCATATTCACCTCCAGATCGACACTTGTTCAAGTTGGCGTTTTCAATTGCGGCACAATTTGAGTCGCTAAAAAGTAGTATGCTTGCATTAAGGTACTATCGTGATGCGCTGGAACTCAACCCGCTTGAGCCAAATGTCGCTAAGAAAGATTGAAATCGAGTGGTTACACTTGATCAAATCGCACAATCGTATGAGAATATGTGCGTATCAGCTTAGAATGTTATCTTTTTGCCGCAGGATCAGCTTATGAGTATTGTTTGCCATCTACATGGAGGGGGTACACTACGACACTCGAAAAATATTTTGAGAATGCAATCAGTGTGTACGATCAGAACTGAGGACACCGAAAGCTCTCAAAGGCAATAGACAACGATGCTGTAGAGCTTCAAGCACTCGATCAAGAGATTTCCGGAACTTTATATAACTATTCATACTTTCTGGTAAAGGCAAAGCGGTGGAGTAAGGCTGAAAATAGCTTAAAGCGTGTTATGATCCTTGCGCGAGTATCGCCACTGTCTAATGATTATATCGAGCTTATTGAAGATGCACTAGCCAAAGTTCGAACGGAGATGGTGATCAATGGGGAAGAACAGAATGATTGCACGAGTTAAAGCCGACTTTGAGGTCAAGCAAGATTTACACACTGAAATAAGTACTACAGTGCTAAGGCTGCAAATATTATATCATCAAGCCTCCACACACAAGCACGAAGATCGAGATTTGCCTGAACGTTTGTCTTTTAATACCTGCGATCAGGAGTGAAGTTTAAAGCAACATTTTGCATCTGATCAGCTGCCGACGTTGCTTTAAATACAAAGAGATCAGTGCAGGGCAGCTCCGTCGTCCTGTTGCCTTGCACCGACGATCCTCAGTCGACAATAATTAAACTGCTGACACCAGGTAAGCAGTACTCAGTTCGAGTTCGGGCGCAGAACCGAGGAGACTATGGCACGCCTCAAACTGCAGCA